GGTTGATTTTTCATTATCAATTTCTCTCATTATGTTTTTATTAAAATTGTAGCTTTTACTTGCTAAAGAATAAATAAAGAATAAGTAATATTCTATAGTGAAAACTATTATTGTAGAGCGTCTATGAAACGAAATACTATAGATCGGAATATGCTTTTATATGTTTTTTATATTTTAATATTACCTATAAGCCCTCATCCTTTCTCATCAGGATTTAGGACCTGCAATGGTGGAGTTACCTTAGACCTTAGACTATGTACATATTTAGACTTATTTACATATTTACACTTATTTAAATATTTACGTTTCACATACTTGCGTTACATACGTTTGGTATTTTTACACACTCATTCATTTAATCTTCGTCAACATCGTCTTCATATTCACTGTCTCCAATATATACGTATACTTAATAGAAAGTGATGATTCAAAAATTACGCGGGCGTGTGTATTTATGTCTCATACCTTCCTATATCTACTTAAATATCAAATAAGTGCAAGGACATGTGCACAACAAGCGACAGTTCAGGCACTTGTCTTACACTGACAGTAATAATGCTTGACAGTTTCAAGTCCTTCTTTATCGAGATCTAGTAGAATATAAATGAGAAATTTTGTTTTTATAATTTTGTTTAAAATATTATATTATCATCATTTCAACTATAAACGATTCTTTTGCAAGTTAATGGTTTTAGATTGCAATATCTAACAAATAGATTTCACTTAGTTGTCATTATAAATATCTATAAATTTAGATACTTTTAATTAAATTAAAAAAATCAAAAGTGTAAGTGATGTAGAAGAAATTCTACATCATTTTTACAGAAGATTCTTGGAACAATACTTAGGAAAATGTTTTAATTTTAATATCCTAATTCTGTGTAAAGAGAAAGATATATGGGCTCAATAGAGTTTAATAACGAATTTTTAGGAATCTTCGTGAGTCTCAACTACAATCAATATCCAGATTCTCTCATATTTATTATCCATGTTTAGTGCACAGAGAAATGGGGGGGGG